CTATATAGCACACAGTTGAGTCAGTGGCACACACAGTTGGAGACACAATTGTATCTAGTCTTTCTTCTCAGAGGGGAAGTTCTCAATTACTAGGAAGGAGGAGAATGTGAGTTTTTCCCCTTAAGTCCTTGGAATTACCAGTTTTTCCAGAATATCTACTATAATGCCTTGGGTTTTAAGAACAACTTCCTGCCTGGCATTGTAAAAATTTGTAGCTTTCCATTTTCTTAAACTTAAAACATCTAACCTGTTCAGCAAAACAATTCTCATTAATTTTACCTTCATGGAATTCTTTTGACATTTAAGGAATTACTAGTATGTAGCTTAAATTCATTATTGCTTTTCTTAATTCTTTCCTACTGCAGGCTGAGTAGATTCATTCCCGTGGCTTTCAAACTATGTTTTATTTAATGATTCTAATTAACCTTTATATGTTGAATAATTAAACTCCAGACAGTGTAAGATAAGCCCCAAATATTTATCTTTTAAAATAGTATATCGCCGTAACCGGTTTGGCTCAGTGGATAGAGCTTCGGCCTGTGGACTGAAAGGTCCCAGGTTCGATTCCGGTCAAGGGCATGTACCTTGGTTGTGGGCACACCCCCAGTAGGGGGTGTGCAGGAGGCAGCTGATCAATGTTTCTCTCATCGATGTTTCTAACTCTCTGTCCCTCTTCCTTCCTCTCTGTAAAAAATCAATAAAATATATTTTTAAAAAAAATAGTATATCCTTAACAATTAGGCTCCTCACCCTTTCCTATCAGAAAATAGGCCACATCAAATGGAAATGCACAATGCAGACTTAGAAATTAAAATTTGAACTAAGAATTTGGAGACAAAAATTGTTTTCCCAAGTTTACCACAGACCAAATTTCTGATTGAATTCTCTAACTCAGTTATATACTTAGTAATTTAGTATGTGGTAAATTATAAAATATATACTACTTCTGTTTTAAGGATAAGTGTTTTAATTTGATTTCCAGTGTCTATAGAGGTTTTTTTATATTTTAAAGTATATATTTTTTTCATTTCAGAGAGGAAGAAAGAGATAGAAACATCAGTGATGAAAATTTTTGATTGGCTGCCTCCTGCCCACCCCCTACTGAGGATCTCGCCTGCAACCTGGGCGTGTGCCCTGAATGGGAATCAAACCATGACCTCCTGGTTCAGAGGTCGATGTTCAACCACTGAGCCACTCCAGCTGGGCATATAGAGTGTTACTATTTTGTCCATACATACTTTCTTTTTACCTTTTCTATAAGTCATACTTCATCTTTTTATATTTTGTGAGTAAATAGTCATCTTTGAAAATATTAATTTCATGTCCAGCCGGTGTGGCTCTGGTTGAACATTTACCTGTGAACCAGGAGATCATGGTTGGAGTCCCAGTCAGGGCACATGCCCAGGTTGCAGGCTCAGTCCTCAGTAGGGGGTGGGCAGGAGGCAGCCGATCAATGATTCTCTCTCATCATTGATGCTTCCATCTCCTTCTACCTTCCTCTCTAAAATCAATGAAATATATTTATAAAAGAAAATGTCTTCGTACAAAATTACTAGGTATTTGATTAGATCAAACATTACAGTGGCTGGTCTGATATCTTTATGGGCTATAAATTTATCTTTGAGGGGTGGATACAGGGATTGACCAAAAAGAAAAAAGAGAGAGAAAAAAAAAATCATGGTCACAGATAACAGTCTGGTGATTGGGGTGGGGTGGGGGGGGGGGCGGGTAGTAAAGGGGGGGTAAATGCTGTTGGAAGGAGACTTGACTTGGGGTGGTGTACAGATGATGTGTTGTGAAATTGAGCACCTGAAATCTGTATAATTTTGTAAACCAGTATCACCCCAATAAATTGAATAAAAAGGATAAAATAAATAATTTTAAATACACATATTTTTAATTTAAAATTTTTTATTTTAATTCAAAACATCAGATTTATTTTTAGTATTTTGTTATTTACAATTTGTTAATTAAATGTAAACCAATACTCTGACTTTAAACCTTGGTGTGTGTTTTTTTCAGCAATTTAAATAAAGAAAAGTCAGCTTTACTACAGATGAAAAATCAAATGGCATTAGATTTAGAACAACTTCTAAATCATCGTGAGGTACGTTTTCCATTTTGTTATAATTTTGCCACTTTAGGATTTTTTTAAGGTTCATGTTGGGTTAAGAGTATTGAATCCCAGTTCATTAATGAATTCTCACATTTGCATCTCACTGTGATCTGGCCCTTTATATTTAACTTGGGGTTGTTCTTTCTTTATGATTTAATTTGCATTTTATTTTTTTATGTGTTAAGTCTTATTCTTGGAATGCCCCTTCTTCTTAACCCCTTATTGCCTTATATCTGTCATTACATTTCCACATTATTTAATAATTTATTTATCTCACTAAATTGTAAATTTTTTTACTGTACCTGTCTTATTCATCATTGTATGCCTAGAGCCTAGTGCACAATATTTGTGTGCATTTTAAATTTTACAAAGTTTTTTCTTTCATATGTTCCTCACCAAAAATCTTTTAGAGTTAATAAAATCCCCATTTTATAAAAGGAGAAATGAGTTTTAGGTGGCTTGCTCAAAGCCAGTTAGTAACTAAGAGAAAACCCCAGTTTTTTAAGCCAGATTTATTGCAGAATAATATACACACAATAAAATTGACTCTTTTAAGCATACATTTCTATAATTTTTTACTAACTCTCACAGTTGTTGTGTAGCCATTATCACAGTTGGTATGTAAAATAATCCCATCACCCCAGAAAGTTCCCTTATGCTCCTTTGTAGTTACCCTTTTCCCCAAATAGAATCCTAGTAACCACTGATCTGTTTTAGTCATTTGTTCCTTTTCCTTACTGAGTAATATTCCAATGTATGGATGTACCAAAGTTTTTAAATCATTCACCAGTTGATGGACATTTGAGGGCATCTGTAAATAAAGCTGTTGTAAACAATTATGTGTATGTTTGTGTAAAAATAAGTTTTTATTTCTCTTGGTAAATACCCAGGAGCAGGATTACGGGGTCATATGGAAACTGTATGTTTACCTTTATAAGGAAATGCCAAACTATTTTCCAAAGTGACTGTACCTTTTGCATTCCCACCAGCAGTGAATGAGAGTTCCAGTTTCTCAGCATTCCCCCCAGCAGTTGGTATTAAATACATTTAATCCAATGTATTTTTTCCACTGAGCTATCACTGCCTTTTTTTTAGCCATGTTTTTACTATTTTGTTATCCTAAGAGAGAAATGCTCAAAACAGATCATTGGTGTATGAGTATCCGGAAGACATTTTTCCATTCTGGGAAAGACATACCAGATATTTGAGAAAAAAATTATTGGAAGGATATTATTGAGAGAAATGAAGTTGGGGATATTACTGGAAGCACTTCAAAGGTGCATATCCTAGAAATTGTGTCAGGGAATTGGGGGCTTGTCTCTATATTAGAAATGGCCTTTGAAGTGAGTTCTCTTAGAGGTATATTTTATATAATGGGTAAAAGAGATAAGAAGGTGTCCCTGGTCTGGCCAGTATGGCTCAGTGGTTGAGCATCAACCTATGAACCAGGAGGTCACGGTTCAATTCCAGATCAGGGCTCATGTCTGGGTTGTGGGCTCATTCCCAGGAGGGGGCATGCAGGAGGCAGTGGGTCAGTGATTCTCCCTTCCTCTCTGATAGCAATAAAAAAATGTGTATAATTTTAAAAAGGTGTCTCTGGACTAGATTTTAGAGATGACTTTTAGGTAGATAAGTAGATCTGAATACAGGTTACAGATTAGGAAAAGCTTCTTTGAAGATATTTATACGTTTTTCTGACTCCAGCATACCAGGCCTTATCTACCGTCACTTACGGTATGTCCTAGAATTCTGCCTTCAAATAATTGTTTCTTCATTGTGGAAACCTGACTCACTCACTATGTGGATTTGCACAAATGTGTTTAAATTGAATATTTAAGAGATAATAACTACAGGTTTCATTCAGTCATACCAAATTTTTTTTTCATTAAGTTTGCATAGGAAGTATGTTTTTCAGAATGGCAATTCTCATGTGATTTTTAGAGAATTAGGCTAGACTCTGAAAAATAGATGAGTAGCTTTAATTTATAAATTTTGTACATCACACTTGAAATCACATTATTCATGAGCCCAAACAAAAGCTAAAAGTTTTACTCACTGCCAGGGCTGGCCAGCAGCCCCTGAACAACGGATGAACAGATTACTCCAACTTGGTTTCACTGTGAAAGAGAGGGCTAAGGGACGGTCTGGCCAAAGGAGCCAGGCAGCCTCGATTGCCTGCCTCGTTAGCCTTTATTGGAATTTTTATCTTTAGATGCAATCAGTAGGGTGAGTAATCTTGGGAGGACACATGTGTTTACATTGTTCTCTAGGCAAGGGCATCCAGGGATTAGGCATAAGGATTCCAGTAAACACCTGGGGGTCTGCATATGCACAGACTTGTTTGGAAAGGTCAAGGAATAATTAGGGGCGCCACCTTTGACACTCCCCTAAGTCTCCCCTAAGTCAGAATTCCGAAAAACAGAGCAGGTGGCCTTCCACACACTTCCCTTTCATCAGAATGTCCTCCTTACAACTTTCCAACCAAGTCTTCTATGCTCCCCAACAAGTCACTGGGTTGAAAATTGAGTAGGTATAGAACAAAATGTTTTAACATGAAAATTAAGTAATAGCAAGATGAAATACTCACATAAACTGCCTACTATGGCATGGAATCAGTGCAATTCACATGAATACATACCTAATTAGTAATTGTCAGTTAATATTCATGCATTTAGTAATATCTTCATTTTGGCAATTATATTTTAACTAGAGGCCCGTTGCAGGAAGATTCCTGCAAGAATAGGGCTTACTGTGGCTGGAGGAAAGCAGAGAAGGGAGCAAAACCCGCTGAGGCGGGCTTCGCTCCCGCCCCCAGCCGCTCCAGCTTGGTGGGTTTGCGCAACCCGCCCCCAGCCGCTGCTGCTGGGTGGGTTTGCCCAACCGGCCCCCAGCCGCTCCGTCTTGGTGGGTTTGCCCAACCCGCCTACAGCCGCTGCAGCTGGGTGGGTTTGCCCAACCTGCCCCAACTGCTCCGGCTTGGTGGGTTTTCCCAATCCGCCCCCAGCCGCTGCAGCTGGGTGGGTTTGCCCAACCTGCCCACAGCCACTGCTGCTGGGTTTGCCCAACTCGCCCCTAGCCGCTCCGTCTTGGTGGGTATGCCCAAACCGCTCCCAGCCGCTCTGGCTTGGTGGGTTTGCACAACCCGCTCCCAGCCGCTGCTGCTGGGTTTTTCCATCCTCCCCCAGCCGCTGTGGCTGGGTGGGTATGCCAAACCCGTCCCCAGCCCCTCTAGCTTGGTCGGTTTGCCCAACCCGCTCCACCGCTGCTGCTGGGTTTTCCCAACCCGCCCCCAGCTGCTCCAGCTGGGTGGGTTTTCCCAACCCGCCCCCAGCCACTGCTGCTGGGTTTTCCCAACCTGCCCCAACCGCTCTGGCTTGGTGGGTTTTCCCAACCTGCCCCCAGCCGCTGCTGCTGGGTTTTTCAATCCGCCCCCAGCCGCTGTGGCTGGGTGGGTATGCTCAACTCGCCCCCAGCTGCTCAGGCTTGGGGGGGATTTCCCAACCCAC